AAGACTAAAGTGACATTGGATTTGAAACAGAATAGAATGAAAAAAAAACCTGGAAGTTCCTGTCTTTTCTAGCTTCGATATTAGTTGTGAAAAACGCCAATCACTTGTTTTTAAATTTTTAAAAGTTTAATAGTAATAAAATTGTTATAAAAATACTAGTACAATTAGAGTAGTAATAATTTGGACAATTTGAATTAGAACAATATGAGACAATAGTGACAAAGAGTTACGGACATCTGGCTACCTTTTTCTGGGCAGCACGAGGCTGAAAAAGGACACCCGTTAACAAAGGATTAACCCTTACAAACAATAGCCTGTTGCATATTCATACACTTCATACATGATGCATTAATTCCATTCAAATACAGGATTCTGTCTGGTCATCATCAACTTCTTCCTCTGATTCCGAACAGCACCTTTGAGGCGGGAAGAATTTCGTTTCTTCTGATAAGAGGGCCATAAATTCTTTTGCTCTGAAAGATTCAGGCATCCTGTGACTGCCATCTTGCTGCAAGTCCTTTCTTTAAAAAAAGTATCCTACATAGCATGGTTTCTATTTCAACACTTTTTATAACCTAAAACTATATTTAACACACTACTTAAGAGAATTAATACAGCATTACTTTCTAAGACAACACATATAATATCCATTTTAATATTTGTGAAAAACCAATAATAAAATACATGCATTTCTCACATAGTTATGAGTAAGTAAACATGGACTAAAACTATGTGCTGTTTTAGGTCACAAAAATGAAGAACAATGCTAAGGCACCTGAATACATCCAGAAGAAGACACCCAAGCAGGTAGAAGGGTTGGAAGGCCTGTCCTGCAAGGAGTGGTGGGGTTTGGAGAGAAGGAGGCTGAGGGGCAACATCACTGCTGTGTTCAGCTGCCAGAGGAGGGGAAGCGAGGAAGTAGGTGCTGAGCTCTTCTCCTTGCAATTCAGCAACAGGGTGTGTGGGAATGGTTCAAAGCTGCATCAGGGGAGGCTCTGACAAGACATTAGGAAGCATTTTCTTTCTGAGAGGATGGTAAAACCCTGGCACAGGCTTTCTAGAGAGGTGGTTAATACACTGAGCCTTTTTGGTGCCTCAAAAATAGGCATCTGGATAATGTCCTTTGTTGCAGTGTGGCAGGGTGGTAGAAATGCTGCAGCCTTCTTTGAAATGTCTCTTTCAGAAGCTGCTCAGAGTAAGGCCACAAGAACAGCCATTTCAAGCCCATGCACACACACACACACCACAGATAGCTCAGCAGAGGAACAGGAAGGGTCTTTGTATGATATATTCCAGCGAGGGTTTGTTACATCCACTATGCCAAAGGAACCACAGACAAAAAACAAAACTATGTGGTCTGCACGACTTAAGAATGGGGTCAGTGACCAATGACCTGAGGGCACAGGGGCGGGGAAAGGGCAGGGCAAAGGGCAAGAATCTGTAGGGGGAATGAGAGATGAATAATTTTGGGGTGCAAAATTGGGGTGCAGTGTCAACTGGGCAATGAGGGAGGCAATCTAATGTAGATTGGCAGTAGTGCTGCAGAGCATCATGGATTAAGTCTTCTCTATCAGCCTAGATAGGGAAAACTCTATGATACAGTCTTCCAAGGCAAGGCTTTGGGGATTTCCCTGAGGGGAAGCAGTCAGAGGATTCCCCAGTCCTTCATAATGGGCTTTAAATTTGGTCAGCCCTGCAGTGGTCAGGCAGTTAAACCAAATGATCACTGTAGGTCCCAACTGTTCTGTTCTATTCTATTCTACTCTATTCTATTCTATTCTATTCTATTCTATTCTATTCTATTCTATTCTATTCTATTCTATTCTTTCTGTTATTAATTGCCAGACATTTTAAACTCAACATAGGCTATGCATTCAATCCAAAAGCAATAAGGTTAAACAAGAATCATAGGAACACACAGTAACTCAGAATGGAAATGGCTTCAGGAAGGCTGTGGTCCACTGTGTTGCTCAAATCAGGGTCATCAGTGGGACCAAACAATGTCACTTAATCCAGCTTGCACTTGAGAGCCTTGAAGGATAGAGACTGCACCAACTCTGTGAGCAACCAGGTCCACTTATAGTCACTTCTCTTGCTCTTTAACAATGCACAGTTTGATTTTGATAAACTTAAACAGCCTACAGCAACATTGGCAAGTATTTTCTGTTGCCTCTCCCTATACATGTACACACTAAGTGCAAATTTTTCTAAAGACTGGTCCAAAATTTCACTTCCCTTTCCCAATAACTTTTAGATCTCAAGGTGTAGGACCGAGTGTGTCTTTTCATGTTGAATAGTTCTGTTTATAGTTTGAGATGCTCTGAATCACAGCTGGTACTAACTGAAGATCTGCGAAATGCACAAGGTTCTAAACCCACCACATTTTCATATTCTTTCCTGTGTTTGTGTCCATCGGACAAAATTCACCTTGCTTAAATAGCTGTTATTCCAGCTGAAATCAGCCTTATTAGGCAAAAAACTAAATTTGGCCCAATAAGTAAATCAAGGGATGCTTTTTACACTTATTAAACTTTTTTAAATTAATTTTTTCACTGTTATATAAAAATTAAGATGGTATTTTAATAAATGATGTGCTTTAAAATTTTTCTTTAGGTTTTAAGTTGATTTTCACTGTATTCATTGGTCTGCAAAGTTTTTAACTTAGCCAAGTAATCTTTTAGGAAATTACTAAACTTTTTTATTTGGATGGAAAAGTTGCAAGTTATATGACAACATGTAATATTTATTTCTATGTCTTTTAATATACTGTGCAACCCACCCCCCACCACGCCCCTAATATAACGCTTTTCTGCCACATCAGCCATATCCTCCTCAGAGGTGCTTTTCTCTTCTCTGTCCCCTCTCAAATTAGTGCCTTGTTTTTTATCCTGTATGTAGTTCTGGATTTCCAGCAGAAATTGTGTTTTCAAAATAGTGGCTACAATCCTTCAAAAGCAAAAGGAAAGTGAGTATTTAGTAAAAATGTTTGTCTCATCAGGCTTGGTGATTAAATCCATGTACAGAGAGCCAAAGAAACACAATGAGTAAATATTCTATAAATTGCTCAGCTTTCAGCTGTTGAATTTAATAACTTCACTAATGCTCAAAACACCATAGCAGTTTCCAATGTACAAACATGGAATACAGGAATAGCAAGAAAAATAAGCCTTTTGATAAAAGGACTCATGGCATAATAAATCAGGAAGAGCTTGAAGAGGAAATAGAAATTTAGCTGTTTTCCATGTATTTTACCTTTAATACTGTGTTTACTTACAAATTGTCTTGCATTGTCCTTCTAATTGACAGTCATTGATGTGGGAAGCTACTGATGAGCACAGACAGTCTAAGATGTTGGTATTTCATGTTCTGGCCATGATGATGCAGAGAAAATGGCTTGTAATGGTCTCTTTCTCTCTGTGTTGCAATAGGACTACATAGTGTTAATTAGATCTTACATGGGAAAACAAAGCCCAAGTTTTCTAAAGTATCTTCATTTTTCATGTAAAATCTTGGATGCCTTGTTAAACATTGCAAAAAAGCAATCAAATATAGTAGTTTAACTTAAGAAAATCTTAACAGCATGATTGCATTGAAAATGCAAAATTTTGAAAATTATGGGGATTTAGAAAAATGTAGGTTCATTTTCAAATATTTGGTTTTGAATTTGAATACTACGTTTAAGTCTTCAAGATCTTTTTTTCTTTTGGTGCCTAGGAATTTAAAAGTTTTGCACCATGTTAATTCTGTCAATGTGATAAATGTTAATAAATTTTACAGCTAATTAAATACTAAAATATCCTACTGCTGCCTGCCCTCTTCTCCTTGGAACTCCATTTCAAAGTCTGACTGAAAACTCAGTTGACAGTGAGAAGGAAGTTGTTGGGAGGAAGTTTGTTGGAAGAAAGTTGTCATATACTAACTCACAAGATCTTACAGCCACATTTATACCTTGGGACATTATAGGAAGATTCCCGCTCAGGCCAGTATTGCAGGTGTCAACATGAACCAAAGTAGTTTGTGTACTGTGAGCAACATGGAGCATCATAACACCCTGAACTACACTCCAGGTTCCTTTTCTTAGACTGCTGATTGACCAGATACACTCCCCATGTTGTGTGCTAAATTTACAATTTTCGTTTTTAGAGCACTTTTGTGATCTTGCAAACTCTGTGACTCTTAAGGACTTACAGAGCCTGTAATTAAAATTCCTTATAAAAACATTGGGGTTTATTTCTCTGTTGTTTATTCTGGCTGAGAATTCCAAGAAACACAAATTCCAGGAGCATTTGGGTGCATAGTGGTTAGTCTGGGTGCATATGGAATGCCAACACTCTTCAGTGCAATTCAAGACCAGAGTCCCTGCAACTTTCTTGGCAGGATTATTGGGACTAGAGGGAGAACAGAATGTGGCCTTGGTATGGGGGTCATCCATGCCTTCCCAAACAGACTAACAAACTTCAGCTGTGTGTTTGAGTCTTTAAACACTCATTTTCAGAAACAAAATCTAGTTTAAGTCCACCCCTAGGGGTTTAAGAGCTGTGTGGTAGAGCTCGTAACTATTATTAAAGGGGAAAACCAGGACTATGACATCAAACTTTTTCTTCCCCTTCACTTTTATTTCACTTGCAAAAGCCAAGTTAAGCAATTGTTTGCAAGGTTTGCTGCAGTAATAGCATATTTGCCTGTGCAGCAAAATGCTATAGGGAAATTATCTAATTGGTTGTTGGCAAAACCCGTTACTAAAGGTTTGTTATCTAGTCGGCGTTCAAACTTTGTAGGCTGTTTGGAAATACTACAGAAGTGGGAGGTATGCTTGTGATGAGAAAGTCACCAAGAGATGGTTCCTTGATCCATTCTTACAGGTATATACAACGCAAGAATGGTATGGGGGACTAACGCTTATTAAACCACCCTGAGGACAGCTGAAAAACACCGAGGCTCACGCCGGGGAGGGAGGCGGAGCTCGGAATGGCCTGGATGTACCGCACGGAGCCACCGCCACGCTCCGCCCTCAGCCCGGCGCCGGGCGGGCCCGGGGAACCGGAGCGGCCCGCGCGCCGCCCCTAGCAGCTGCTGCCGCGCGGACCCTGCCGCGCTGGGCCGCAGGTAAGAGCGACCGGGATCTGAAGCCAGGCTCCACGGCCTCTGGCCCTGCCCTCGGTTCCTGGAGCTGGGTGGGCCCAGGGGGGGGCCGTAGGCCGGGAGTCTTCTTGGGTGGGCGGTGGTGCCGCCAGCGGGGAGGCCTAGGGAGGCGTGCGGATCGCGCCTCCCGAGGGCGCCGGCTCCTTTGCCCGCTCCCGGCGGCAGTGTGGCACGCGGACTAGGGGCCGGGTGAGCCGTGCCCGGGCAGCGCCAGGTCGCGTGGTGAGAGCAGCGGCACTGCGCTCTTGCAGGCCCCGGAGCCCGCCCTGCGGCCCCGACTGCGGCGGGGCTGAGCCGCTAGCGGGGAGCAAGGCAGCCCGGCGCCCTAGGAGAGCAGGATGCTTGGTGGTAATTCCCATGTGTATAGGGAAACCGGGGAGTTGCCATGCGGGGCCTGCAGGCTGCGCTGAGGCTGCTCCTGAGCTCTCTCCGTGTCACTCGATGGGTGACAGTGTAAGTGGTGGAAAAGCCCAGAACTTACTCTTTTTCAGCTATATCTAGTATTAGTGTAAGTATGCATTTAGTATGCATAACCGTCTCCTCAGTTTCAGTTTAAAGCACACTGGCAGCTCCATACTCAAACAAATGATAAACGTGAATATGATCTTACTATTGAATCTGACAATGACAATGTGCACTAGGGCACAGTTTTCTGTGGGTAACTTTTGTACTACTTTGTAAAAAATTTTGCTTAGTGAAGCAAATGGGGCAGAAGTGAGGCAAAAGAGTAGACAAGAGTTTTGTCTTAATATTTACTGTATGGCCTCGGAAGCTCACAGACTGCACTTGTGCACTCAAAGGTGTATTAAAGTGTTACTTCAGAGCACTAAACTTGCTAAGGTGCTTTGGTTCATTAGCAGGCATGTTTTTCCAGTTCTGTCTCTGCACATTTACTGGAAAAGTGTCTTTGAACATCTCCAGTGCTGTTTTGAGTGGTATGCAGAATGTAGGAAAACAATCTCAGATCTTAAGTCTCGGTATGTATTACTTATATGCTGGTTTATATATATTTTGCCTAGCATAAATGTATTCTTTATTACAAAGAAAAAAAGAAATTATGAACACTAACAAATGCTTCTTATAAACATGTCTCTGTTACTGTATTTTCTAAAGTGGGCCAGGATGTTATACATGTTTGCTTGTATAGCTGCATGCAGAAAGCTGCTTCTCCCACCACCCTCCTGCTGTTGGTATATTTTGAACCATATTCCGGCTAATGGGGTGTGCTTGCTTCAGTTGTCTCTTTTCTCCCTTGAGGAAGAGCATTTGTTGATAATGAAGATAGAGGAGCATGGTTCTCACAGTGGCTTTGAAGCAGAGGGAAATGAGGCAGTGGCAGTGCAATCACTGAAATTAAGCTCTTGCGTAAGAATACTGACATTATAGTGTAGCTTTCTGTACATTCTTGTTTTTGATCAGCCTTATGCTGCTGGCTTGGCCACCAGCAATATATAATCATATGCAAATGAGGTATGATATTGCAAAGTCAGATGAGTCAGAAATGAGTGTTCCAGGAGGAAGATTTCTGTCCACACTAGTTCTAAGTTTAATAGAAATTTACTGTGACTGGATGTACTGTTGGGCTTTTATTAATTGTTACTCTATGCTTCCATTTCTCTCATTTTAAAGCAGCATTTAAGTAAGGGAAGGAGCATTTGAGAAGCAGGCAAAAAACAGAACTTTTAAAGCCTTTATGTACATTACTCTAGTGAGCTTGAGAAAGTGACCTTTATCAATGAGGATTGTATAAGTGAACGTGAAACTGATGCCTTAAGGTTTGAGTTTCATATTATCCAGATTCTGTACTGCATTAGTATATAACTCTGACCTTCATATAAAGTATTAGCAAATTCTCTTCACAGTTTAGTTAGACAAAATAGTCCTTTTCCAAACTGAGAACCAAGGACACCATTGCAGCTTCAGGCCCAAAAAATATTAACAGCAAATTGAGGAGAGCAAACTGAGAGGATCGTCGTTTATTACCTGAAGCTGTAATTGGACAATTAACCCCAATATGTAAATTGAACAAAACGTATAAAAGTGTGAGACGTCGTCACCAGTTGCTCATTTTGGGTGTACCAGAGTTGGGCCCCTTGTACTGCCCAAGGTATATCCTTTGAAGGCCTTTTTAATAAATACCTACTTTATTCCTTTAACACTGTCTAGCCTCTGTTTCTAGGTAGCCTCTCAAGGCATCAAAACCTTTCTACCAAATATCTAAATATCTGCTGCAGATTGTAGCAAGGTAAGACAGAGAACAAGTGACTTAAAGTGCTTCCGTTAAAAAAACTGAAAAAACTAAATTGCATTGGTTGAATGTATTTTTCATAATATTTATGATTAGGTCTATTTTTAAAGTTTCTTTCCTTGAATTCCTAGTCAAAAGCTGAATATTGTATGATTTAGGCCGATCATTTCAAAATAATGTCAACAGAGCTGCACTAACTTGTAAGTACAGAATACTACCCAACCCTGAATTTCTTTTCTAACACAGAAACATTGGAGACCCATAGTCTCTTTGGTTCTTAAAGAAAAGAAATCAGTATTTATTTAGTGAAAACTAGAATACTTCAAGCACTCTCCTTTTGTTTGTTTGTTTCTGTCTCTTATTTTTAAAAGGTGGTTTAGTTTTTGGTTGACAACTCAGGTTGTTTGGTGTCTTCCCAAGTGGGCTAAGTAAGAACTACAAAAATTAAACTTAGATTTTATTTGATGAAAAGATGGAAGATCAAAAATACAGAGAACTAAAAATGAAATTATAAGGGAAACATTATTTTACATACTAATCCAATGAAGAATAAAAATTATATGCGTTACAATATGCATCAGCTACTTTGCATGTATCTCATGGTTTCATTTTTTGATGAGTCAGCATAGTAAACAACCACCTTTATGCTGGCCAGGAGCATCATTTTACTGACCAAGTGAAGGGGAAGCATTTGTCTGTGATTGAATCCAACAAGGGAGTCTCATTGTCCATGTGGAAGGCTGTAAATATTTTAGAGAAGTTATGGTCTGTTAAACACTTTTGTGTAGTGTTGCTTGGCAGAGAGATGTTAAATGGCCTTCTTTCCCACCATTTTATTTCACTTCCCCTGCTTGCTAAGTCTGCTCATACAAAATTCATTAGTCTGGTCAGACTCTTTACGTTCTATGTGTCTCTTTTCTTTGTAGATTGTGTGCTCTGTCATGCTCATCTGGGATCTGGTCTGAGGTAGTCAGTTGTGTTGCTAGCTGTAGTTTCTCGGTAGTGCACTTTTGACAGTCTTCAATTTTACAAGGTAGTTTTCTGGATCATAATAGTTTTCTTTTTAAACCTGTTAATAACAAGACTTTAAAAAGCTGGTTCCTGCTACTTGGAGTAGGGGCATATTAGTAGAAATTGATGTAATCATCTTTTCAGAAAGAAGACTTTGGAAATTATTGCCTGGTATATTGGGTAGCTGAATGGCTTAATTTTTTACCTGTTGACAAGAACAACCCCCCACCCCCCCCCCCCCACCCTCCCAATACACACACACTTTACTAGTTTTACTAGTTGTTTTGTAGGCTGTTGTTTTACATTACATTCTGAAATTACTGCACTGGCTTTATTAACTCAGTAATATCAATTCATGTTTTCTTAAGGTCTGTAGGATTATAGTGTATGTTTTATGCATAATTTTGGTTTTTTGCATTTAATTTTGTGGAAGTAAATCTGTGCTATGCTTAGTTGTTTGTTACTCCATCTGAATGTTTTCTTATATGGTGTAACAATTTTTTCATATTGCCCCCATTCTCTTTAGCTTAGAGGAGTATGGAGAATTTCTTGTAAGGAACAGCAAACATTTTTTTTCCCTTCAGACTGCAAAGGAAATGATGTAGACCTTATCTTTCACTCTTCACAAAGAGACAGTTGAAATAATTAAAGGTGTCCTGGCTTCACACGTGCTGGGCTATTTCACTTACTCCTGATGTCTAACAGATAAACATTTTGTCTTTTAAGTGCATTTTATATGTCAATTAATGGCAGCACAGAGAAGGGAAAGTGTCAAAACTGGCTTGATATCTCTATTCGGTATGTTTGACTCTTCTACAGATATCAACACTGCCATCTCCATTCTGCTTTTTCTTGTTGCAATTACTATAATTTTATCAATGTGACATATCTTAGTGATTCTTAACTAAAAAGTATTGCCTACAGGCTTGGCATCTTGGAGGAAGAATCAGTTCTGAAGAAGAAAACATTTACTGAATGGACAGAAATTTAATGCTTATCTAAAAGGAAAAGAAAAAGGTATGTTGTAAAATCACTTCAGATTCTAGCTGAGGAGATAAGTAACAATAGAAATGCGAAATTACAGAGAACCAGATACTTTGTTAGGAGTAACTTACAGTAGTTCTAAAATAATGTGGACTTTCTACAAAGCATAAATGTTACCAAGGAAAAATGCTCTTCATCTTTCTTTTTGTTTGCAAATACTGAATAATTAAAGTTTGTATTGTATAAGTCACATTTCTTTCCTCAGAAAGACAGTAAGTAATGCATGTAACAGGAGAAATAACACTTTATCAGAGAAAAAAAAACTTAACACAAGATTTTGAGTGCAGTGAAGCACATGGCAAGAAGTCATTTCAACAATAAATGATTTACAGTGCGTATATTGTGATATCAGGCCCTAGTGTGTCATGCATATATGTTTTTCATTTGTCCCATGTTATGAAAAGGATATGAATAATATCTGACAACTTTGTGGAAGATTCAGTAACTGGAAAATATATTTGCAAAATGTGGGAATTTTGATGGTTTTACACTGAAAGAAATATCTCAAGAATATTAATGTATTCTTTGAGGTCATACAGGGATTTTTAATAGTTTATCTAGTATTTATCTTAATTATTTCTCTGCTCTGTGTTTTAGACAATTTTCTGGATTGGGTCTGGTTGCTTCATATGCAGAGCTTGCTTTAAATATACAGAGAATTGATAAAATCTTGTAAAATCTCATTGAATTTTATTCTGAAGGCCATTCTGGTAGGTATTTGTCAAATTAATTCTGTTGGTAAGAATTAATGCTTACTACTTTCATATACTTTGCATATGTTTTTAATATGTGGACCAGCAGCAAAGGATATGCCATCTTGTTCTTAGTCTCCTTGCTTAGATTAAATAATAATCTTCAATTATAAATTGTCTTGAATTGGCATCACTCTGTCATCATTCTGTTTGAGGGGCAAGAAGACAAGCCAGCAGTGATCTGAAGAAGTAATCTTTTTAAACTGAAGTACTGTTTTTTCCAGTGTTATTACTGATGAGCTTGTACTTGTAAACAGCAGTGAACATAACAGAAGTTATCAAATGCTTTATAACCATAGAAATGTCCTAAAAATATTGTCAAAATTTTAACTATCTGTTTATAGGTGATGGTACAGACCCTCACTGTGAAGCTCAAATTATTTTCTATTTTTTTAATAGGAGTTTTCTAAATAATGTCTTTGTGGTTTTTTTTTAGCTTTTTTCCCAGATAAGGATACAAATCACTTTGAAGCCATATGGCAGCTTGAATAACTGGCTTAAAAGTCTTGGGAAAGAAGAGCTGAACACCTACATGCTGAGTTTTGGTCCTTTGCTTATGGAGCTGGCCAGTCATTCCTGTCACTGGCTAGCAGTCTCTAGCTCAGTCCCTTTAGTTTTTTATGTTTGTGGCACCAGTTTCTGATGCTGCTGTTGCTTTCAAATGTTTGACAGATTTATTGATTTTGATACTGTTCTTCACACTGCAGCACAGAATGGGAGTTCTGCAGTTTCAGAACCTTAAGTACTTAGGCTGGACCTTGCTGTCTTGAGGACTTTCTGCTCTGATTTTCCTTTGTACTGGTTTACAGTGAGGGTAATTATTGTGCAGTGAACTGCTGACTCCTTCCCTTCTGCATAGTTACTTTTCCAAGTTGATTGCTCTTGGTTGCCAGAGCACATGCCCATATTTCAAACAAAATAAATTAACTTTAAAAGTTGGGTTCTGAGAAGAGCAGCCTTTGTGTTACTTTCAGATTTTAAACACCAAAAGTGCATGAAGATAATCTTCCTCCTTCCTCTTCTGTAGGGCACATACTGCTGTGACAAGTGATTTGTTTTTTCTGGGCATGTTTGTTTATTTTTTTGTTTTGTTGGTTTTGCTGTTTATATGTGACTAGGTAATATGATTCATTTTCAGCCTTGCAGTATGTCCATTTTATTTATACATTTTCTAGCATCATTTCAGTTTCTTTTAACAGAACAAATTGAGTCTTTCTGAAAGGTTCCAGGAGAGATTTCCAAACTGCAGGGTAAAACTTGGGAATTAAGAGCAAGAACAGATACTTGGGTTTCTTGCCTAAAATCACAGGATAGCTGAAAACTGTAATGCAGAATTTCTATGTGCTGTGCCTCCAGTAATTGTGGTTCCTGGTAGTACATAATTTCAACTTCAGAAATTGTCATTAATATCTTTGTCTCAGCAGCTGAAGCCTCATCAAATTTACTGTTTCACTGCTGGATATGGTGTTAAAGTAGGAAACAACTGCTTCTCCTATTCTAAAACTGGTAATTAACTGCATAAATATATATTGAATTCAATTAAATGTCACGGGAAGCATTATTTAGTTGTGTGGACTTTCTGCAGTTTGGTGTCTGGTTTGCTTCATTATTTTAATTCTTTATTTGACTGTTTTACTTGTTTTGATTGATTCACAGAATTGTTAGGGGTGGAAGGGATTTCTGGAGACCATTTAGTCCAATCCCAGACCATCTAGTCCAACCCCAGAATGCTTAACAGCTCATTGGATGAAGTATATCTGCAAAAGTTATGGTACGCAAAACTGGTAATGAAGAATTCTCAGTATACCACAACTGAGAATGAAAAGAGACCATTTAAGACTAAAGGAACATTAAAATAGTCTCTCCATAATATAAGTCTGTTAATGGCAAATAAAATCCTCTTTAGCAGAACTGTGGGCATTTTGTTTACTCCTAATTTATTAGCATAGGGACCAGCAGGTTAACTGGAGACTATGCAGGGAAGGAGAGATAGGAACGTCAGATCCCAGTCACTTAAATCCAGGGTAAAACCAAGATTCTTTTGGTTTAGGTGCAAAGGAGAAATACCAACCAGATGTCTTCAAGAGGTAAAAAATCACAAAGTTTACTAGTGAATTATCGAGGATGATTATCTTTGTCAAAAGATTTAGTACAACATCAAACACCACAGTACAGACATAGCCCACTGAACATAGAAAATGTTTAAACCCATTTGGCATTATCTTCTGTGAAAAGAAAGTTAGAAGGCAAAAGGGGGAAAGATGTAGAAAAACAGACATAACTACTGCCTTCAGGGTTCCAGTGGTGTAAAGCTCCAAGATGAAGGTAGAGTTAAAGAGCAACATGCTTGCGTTGTGATTAGTCTTCTTAAAAACCCTTCCTACCAGGTGGGTCTTTCAGTTGCTCAGCCATTTAGGGGGCTGTGTTAGGCAATACTGGGGGGCTGCCTCCATTGTGCCATTTGTGACAGACACTGAGGGGCTGGGGCAGGGCACCACCTCACCAGAGCAAGGCCTCACCCACCCCTTACCACATATTCCAAGCACCCAAGAGGTCTTGAAACAGATTTCCACTCTCTGACAGAACATTATTTGAACTACTCCTTCCCAGTCCCTTCACAGATACAAGGTTATCTTATATTTTGCATAAGGCTAGTATTTTCTTTTGCCCAAGTGATAATTGTGCACAGCTCCCTCTCTAATTTAAAACAAATTAATGGGATTTTGGGGGGTGTCTTAATTACAGAAGATGGAATAAAGTATTTCCTTTTTTCTTGCGTCGTTGCTACTTGGCCTGTGACGTTCCAAGCCTGAAAATGGCATCAAGTAGTAGCTTCAAAAGTTTGCAAACTCCTGGAAGTGTTTAAAGTCAGGCTTATTTGTGAAATATTATTGAGCTTTTGGATGTAGTTTATGATCACATATAATGAATTTTAGTATTCGTTCAGCTTAACACTTGGATGCTAACTTTCCTTCCTTTGTTGCCTTTAAACATGACATAGTTATGTTGATTTTTTTTGGTGAAGTATATTGACTACAGTAGCTGACCTTTAGAGCAAAGGTGAGTCTGACAATGAAGAAAGCATGGATTTGCAGGAAATGAAGAAAGCAGGTCACAAATGTGACCTGTTTTGTGAAGTAGCTGTGTGAGTGAAATGGTTCAGATGATGCTGACAATAGAAATGAAAAGGAGGCTTTCTGGTGTTCCAGCATCTGCTGGTGTATACTTGCTGTGATGGTGACCGTATCTTTTCATGTTAGAGGTGATAATAACTTGCAGTGAGTGCTTTTGTTTGTAAAGGCACCAAATAATGTATTTGGAATAGTAGTGAGGGAAGGGTAAAATGTTTCCAAGAGAAATAGGAAAAAAACAAATAAATATTTTTTATTCTTAAGATGCTTATAAGAATCTAATGCTATATTCATTAAACACAGTATACTTAGTTAGAAATACATTAGAATCCTATTAGAATAAAAGAGTGTGTGTTTGATTAATTGTGAATAAGATGATAGGTCAGTTTTCCTGGGGAGTATGTGAAGACTGCTGATGACCTAATCAGACAGGTGTGGAATGGCTAGGATGCCATTCTGTGAATTTAGAGCAAGCTGTCTGCACATGTGGAAGATGAAAGCATCAGATCAGGTACACTCAGATCAGGTATGATCCATGGTCATAACTGAATGAGCTCATACTTTTTAGGCGTGTTTTTTGAAAGCTTTGTTTAATAATATTGTCACTAGACAAATTACAAAGTAAAGACTGGGGAAGGTGCGTGGATCTGCTAATGGATGTAGATGCTCCAAGAGGTGAGGGACTACAAAGAATCAAATGCACCAAAAGGCTGAAAAAATGATCCAGAAAGATGCTCCATTTTTATGTATGATAGTATTAATATATTTTTAGCTATTTAGAATTAGCAGTATCTTTATGGTATCTTTTATTGAAAAAACCCAACCAAGATAATTTTGAAAGACAGATGTCAGTGATAGGTCTGTTATGTGACACCATGCAGAGCTAAGACCAGGCTGAATAGGGATTTACTGGTTATGACTTCTGGGTGATAAAAATTCTTTTCCTGTGGTCCTCTCTTATCCCCTTGTATTGCATTTTCTGATCGCTCTGTTTTATTTTTAGGAGCAAAGCTTTGTGTTTAAAATGGAAGTTGATGTGACTGGAGAGTCCAGAACTGCCCTCTCCACCCTCTCTGTGCCTCTTGCAGAGTTGAGTTCTGCAGCCAGGATGGAAGCAGAAAAGCCACGCTGTTCCAGCACCCCCTGCTCACCATTGAGGCGGACAGTTGCAGGATATCAGATCCTTCACATGGATTCTAACTACCTGGTTGGCTTCACAACTGGAAAGGAACTGCTAAAATTAGCCCATAAGTATATTGGAAGTGAAGAGAATAAAGGAGAATCTGGTCGTAACTTGGGCTCCAAACATCTTGATTCGGGACTTTCACGTTCCTCACGTTTGTACAAAACTAGAAGTAAGTACTACCAGCCCTATGAGATCCCATCAGTAAATGGAAGGAGGAGGAGACGGATGCCCAGCTCCGGGGATAAATACAATAAAGCTTTACCATATGAACCTTACAAAGCACTTCATGGTCCCCTGCCTCTCTGCCTTTTGAAAGGTAAAAGGGCTCATTCAAAATCCCTAGACTACCTCAATTTAGACAAAATGAGCATTAAGGAACCTGCTGACACAGAAGTGCTACAATACCAGCTCCAACACCTTACTCTTAGAGGGGATCGTATGTTTGCAAGGAATAGCACATGAGCTATCATCTCAAATTTAGAAATGGTTTCTGATCTTATGTCTCTTGCCGCAGAAATCCACTGTTGAAGTGTGTACATGACTGTCCACATTGTAGGTGGTTTTATCAGCTCAGTGTTACCAGGAAGTAATTTATTTGAATACAGTCTTGGCAATGAAGTGTTCTGCAAATACTTGGAGAGTGAAATCTTTCCTGATTCAGCAGCTTCTGATGCAGATTTGACTGCAACTAGTGGATATTTCTTTGGACACATTTTAACAAAAAAAAAAGCTTTTGATTTTTGGAATTTTTTTTCTGTACTGCTACATCTAGTGTTTACAGTAATTCAACACTCACTTTTTCAATATGAAAAATATGTGGTGTCTGCTTGGTTGTTGCTAATTTTGGCATGATATTAGAAACTGCTCGTGGATTAGTACCCAAGGAGGTTTTTTTGGTTTACTTTTTGTTTCTGGAGTAAAATGTTTGTGGTTTTCTTACAGCATGGAGAAGAAAGTGAGCTTGACTGGATGAACCACTTGCTCTTTAAACAATCCAATTCATACATTTTGAGACTGCGCTTGTACTAGTGATGTGGGTGAGATTTATTCGTAAAAGAAATGTTTGCTACTTAAATCCTATCAAAACTGGTTTTTTAGTTTCTGCATTGAAGTAATTGCTTTGTCCTTTTTATTCTATAAAACATGTTCACAATAAATCTTTAAGTTATTTAAAGCAAATCTTTCAAGAAGCAAAGTGATTTTTTTGTTTGTTTGGTTTTTGGGGTTTTTTGTTAGATTTTGTTTTAACATTGTCTAGAGACAGAAAATGGAATGTCTGTACTGGTATGTTGGTAATGGTTTTGATTTTAATTTGTGATTTTCTTTTCATCTGTAGTAGCAGAAGGTATCAACTTCAGCATAGTTTTGGAAATTTTGTCTACTTGAAGCACTGAACACGAGCTCTGGAGGGCAGATTATTTCTTGACAAGAGTGAAAGTGAAATATTTCTTGTCAGTGTTAAAGAGATGATCTTGAATTTTACAGCAGAATAATGCACTGGTTACTTTTGTTAATAAATTTTTTATCCAAATATGACATCAAATGCAGTTTTGACAGCTGTATTCCTAGATGTGTTTAAAACCTTTTGTTTAATTAGTTTTTGTTTTACTTTAGTTTAAAAATGAAAGTTTTCATACTGTATTTTTTTTAGATGCAGTCTTATACTGAAGGAGCAGATAACTTGATTTTTTCCTGATGACCTCTGCAGAAGTTAAAAATAATTTCATATTGCTTTGAAGCATAAATTATTTGATCAGTTGTTTCTGATAGAGTCAAGATTTTTTTTGTTTGTTTATCACTCAGAATTACTAGAAAGCACTAGTTAGTGCATGTGCTCTGGGAAATGAAGTGTTCTTATGCAGAGTCAGTCTACAGTTTAAATGAAGGTAGCCCACTATTGAGCATTTTGTAGTTTGGTTATTTTTTTAGTTTTTTTAGAAAATACAAAAAACCACCAATGTGTATTTTTCAAAGTTAACTGCACTGGTGTAAATTTAATGTACTTAACATTGATCTTGAAAGTAAAGTCTTCTATTAGTCTTCAGTTTGAAAAACAGAATACGGTCAAATGCCAAAGAGATAGTGGGTTTATTTAAGGAATAAACACTACTGTTTATTGAAATATGAAATTAATTTGTATTTCTGGCTGAAAAATAAAAAGGGTATTATAAACAGCTGTTGTTGTGAATTCATTTGCTGTGTAGGAGAAAAAGAGGACATTAAAAAAAATACAACTGTAGACTAGGGAACATTTAAAAACAACTTGAAAGTCATGGTCCTAGATTTCTGTGAAATAGATGCTTAGCTCTGTTCCTTTGTTTTGGGAAAAGGGCCACACATTTACCTTATATGCATCTTTCTGATATTGTCCAGTGCTATAATTGTATGGCTACACAAAGAGAATGGTTGATGGCTATATAGCTGAGTTCAGACATAACAAATGTGTTGGTATTTTATCTTTGGTGATTTGTTTGTCAGTGTGCTCAGACAGGGTCATGGTATTCGCTTAACTCACGTACACTTGCAGCCCTCATAAAATGCGAAATACTATTTACACTTCATGTAATACAGACTAAGCAAGGAATTGATAATAGATAATTTGTTTTTTCTAAGTTTTAATGGTACAAGGAATCAGAAACAAATTTTCCAACATAATCAATTTTTAAAAGTTCTGTAGTGTGGTCTGGTTGAAGCTAGTTATTTTCACTTTCAAAGCATTACATGCTAAAGGGACACAGTTGGAAAAGATCATCCTTAGTGAGAATATAGTCAGCAAACACTAGAAAAAATACTTTGAGTAAGAATAATTTTATAGTGGAGCTACAGTAGAGTAGAGAAGTATAAATAAGTTGTTAAACTGTTGTAGGAAAAATGTTGATTAAAACTGAAAAATATAGATTTATTACAATGCTAATAGCTTTAAAGACAGTCAAGCTTGGCAACCAACAGTAAAATGCACATACCTTTGTATGTTGTTGGAGCTGGCAAGTGTGGTTTATTGATGAATCTGAGGATGACTTTTTGCATGAATGGTTTGCGGTAATCTCTTAATTGGAACATCAGTTTCCATAATGGGTCATTACACTGAACACTGTAAGAGTGGCACAAATGTGCCAGATACACAGATCCTTAGAAGAACACTATAATGTTTGATTTACTGATTTTTTTTTTCCTGTGTCTCACAATACATTGTTTTAGCCAGAAGATAATGCCAACTTTCCAAGTCTTCAAAAACCTTCTGACAGATTATATGGGTTTTTTCCCAGTGATTTTGCCTGGGTAATTTTTTCTTCTCTTCCATCACAAAAGCACTCAGGAAAGATCAAACTACCTTCAGGTCTACAGAATGTGTAATGCTTCCTTTCCACATTGAAAAGGAATGTGGAGCAAGGGAACGTTGCCCTAATATTTGAAAGGAGCAAGGGAACATTACCCTAATATTTCAATACGCACTTTGTCTCACATCATTCTTAACTTACTCTTAGGGAGTTTGGCGGTAGAGAGTGACATTGATGTAAACCTACAGAGAGTGTGTTAGAAGAAGTGGGGAAAGAAGACTATCACTTTTGGGGGAAAAGCCCAGAATCAGTTGTCTTGTGTTGAAAACAAAAGAGAAGGTAAGGAAATTAACTAACCACATTGCATCCATTTTTAGGAGACAAGTTGTTTCACCCTGAATATGCTTGGTATCACTTACCAAGAAATTGGCCTGGAGTAAAAAGAGGGGGAGTTTCTCTTTAAGAGGAGGAGGAGAGCCTTGCGCAGTGCTTTAAGTTCTGTGGAGAGTGGAAGGACAGAAAGAATTCGCCATAATATATCAGGGAAAGGCTGGAGAAATAAAAACCTCAGAGGAGCAGTGCTACAAGAACAGCAGGAGTGTAGTTCCAGTGTCAGAAAAAGCAAAGACGTGGAAGAAGATGGTGTGCTGGCCTCAAATCTCTCTAGGTAGCAATGGAATGTGTTTCTGCTCAGCTAAGGAGGCTGATGAGATGTCTTAGCAATATGCTGTGATCAGTCGAGGCTGCAGTGAAGGTAGGAAGCAGGAGCTTGAGGCTGTGTGTGTAACACTTTCATGCTCATAAGGTTAGATGAAATTCAGATGGGAGTGCTGAAAGAATAAAATAATAGTCTTTATTCCAATTGAGCATGGCCTGAATTCAAGTGGTATTTTATGATACTGAACAGCCCTACACAGCGTGAATAAGTAGATGGTGCAGTTTTGTAGTTTGAGAAGCTCTCTGAAAAAGCAGAACTTTTGTCTGTTAAGTTCCTTTATTATTAATTTCAGTATAAAAAAATTAAGCATCTTTCAAGCTTTGTTATATATTATGGTGTAAGTACCGACTATGATTTCTGGTAGGATTACTGTTGCATTCAGTTTTGACATTTTGTTAGACTCTCCCCTTCTGAAGCTCCTCATGGGCTGTTCTTTCTGTGATGAGGCAGAAGGGCTAAAACATGCAAGAACATTGAGAAGAACACTGACAGCCTGAACCCTATGAGAAAATGGAGCAAGCCACAATTTGCTGTAGTGTTTCACATTAGCTGATTTTTCAGGAAGTCAAAAAATGTTCAAAAAAAGCATGAGATACTGGGATGCCTTTAGAAGTCTTATTTCAGGCTAGGAATGTTGCAGGATAGAGCTTCATGGTGTGAACTGTAGTCTGCAAGTGGATAAAAGCAGAAGGGGAGAGAGAATGTTATTGTGCACTGGAATATCGAGTGGTGGAATGCTAACATTTTAAGCTAAGTGGATGAGAGGAGAAAAAAAGAATGTATTAAATGCAAATTAATTTGTTTCTGCCTTATCTCAGTGGTTTTAAGTTTTTAATGTTAATTGTGGTGAACATCTTCCAATTTTTATGAAAATTGGAGGATACCCAGAATAGCTACAACTCCAAGTGACTGACTATGCAAGATTTTTACCTACCCATCTATAGCAATGCTTTCTATAGAATTTAATATTTTTATTTTTATGAGACTTTCAATATTTAGCTGATATTTTTTTCAGAATTAATCTTGTGAAAGAGATAGTTGGCAAAAAATATTGAAGCAAGAAATACTGATGGGAGTCTCAGTAAAAATGGGAGATAAACCTTCATGTAAATAATGGCCATCCTATCAGTTTAATAACTTCTAAAGTAGAACTGCAAACCTAGAGAAAAAAAAAGAATTACTCACCACCCCCAGGTGCAGAGGTGGGATACAATGATCTCTAAAGACTGCTCCAATCTGTATCCAATTTTGCTCCAATTAATCCAATTTTGAGACACAGCCATGTTTCAGAGATGACTAAGTGCTTCATGGATGTAGTAATATTTCAGAGAGGCTTTTAGAAGGCTGGAGTACCCAGTTCTAGAAACACAGAGTCATTTAGGTCCAAGATCATTGTGTGTCCAACCATTAACCCACTGCCAAATCCACACTAAACCATGTCCCTGAGTGCCACATCTACAGGTCTTTAAATAGCTCCAGGAATCATTAATGCCACCATAGCCCTGGGCAGCCTGTTCCAGTGCTTGAAAACCCTTAACAGGAAGGAATTTCCCCTAATATCCAAACTAAACCTCCCCTGGTGCAACTTGAGACTATTTCCTATTGTCCTGTTGCTTGTTTTTTAGGACAAGAGCTGCCCCACCCTGGCTGCACCCTCCTCTCTGGTCATTGTAGAGAGCAACAAGGTTCTACCTAAGCCTCCTTTTCTCCAGGCTGAGCCCCTCCAGCCCCTGAACTGCTCCTCATCAACTCCATTCACTTCTCTGGACTCACTCAACACCTCAATGTCTTTCTTCTTGTGGGAGGCCTAGAATTGAACACTGGATTTGAGGTGTAGCTGTCTTTGAATATTTTTATTTGCCTTCCATTTTCAGTAGGCCAGTGATGCATTTGAAATAACTTCTGTCTCCTTAGATCTAGGTTCTAAGAAAT